ATGATATATGGTAATGACAACTTGCTGGCAATGATGCAGTGGATTAGGAGGATCTTTACCCAAAGACATTGCAGAGCGAAATATTGCTCCAAGGCTGAACTTAGAGACTTTTATGCTTACGACGAGTTAGTTAGATTAGAATAATAGTTTAGTTGTAGTATGTATTATGCTGCTCGAATGAAAATATATTTTTGTTTTCAATTGATTAATAAACTGATGATCTTGCCTGACTACGGGTACTCAAAAAAAAAAAAATAAATAAATAAATAAAATTTCTTAAGAAAATTGTAAAAATAATAAATTCTTTAAGAAAGTTGAGAATAGTATATGAAAAAATATATAATAAATCTTTTTATATTAATAAAACCTCTATTTTTTGTTACTTTAACTCTAAAAAGTAATACTTTATTTGTTGATCTTTTTACTTTCTAGAACTTTCTTATTTTTAATAAAAAAATATATATTTGAATCTATTTAGATTATCAAAGATCAAAGTTTTTGTTTAAAGAAATTTATAAACAAATAAAAAAAAGTTGTAATAACTTATAAAAATAAGCTTCAGATTGTTTTAAGAAAAGTATGAAGACTTTATTAGTCAAGAAATATAAAAACTTCTTGTAAACATTTTTTTTTTTTTATATAATCAGAGAATCAGTGAAAAGAGTTTTTTTTATAAATTTATACAGTATACTCTACTTATCTTTAAATGACTTTATATATTAAATATTTAATTTTTAAAATTTTTTCAAAATCAATTATTTATAAACTTTTTTATTTTTAAATTAAAAATTTATAAATTATAATATTAAGTAATAAGAATATATATTATATATAAAGTTTATAATAAATTTTTTATTTAAAAATAAAAATAATAAAACAATTCCATACTATATATTAGGTAAATCAAATTACTAAATAATATACCATTTCATTCTTCAAATAAAGTTATTTAAATAATATAATTTATATTATAATATTGAAATAATTGCTTTAAATTTTTAATATGTATACAGTCAATTTTGATTTTTAATTTATAATTTGGTTATGCGTAATTTATTCAGAATGGGAAGAAAGCAATGATTATGAATAATGTAAAATGAAATGTAAGTTGCCATTAAATTTGCTTCTAGAGCTTAAGAGCTATGTGCAAACCGAAAGGTTACCACTAAGCCAATTTCTAAGGCATTTTTTTTTATACATAAATAGATCATCCGTGCATTATTATTGTTGCTGTCCTTCGAACATTTTTCTAATCATCTCTGTAGAATAGGATTTTGGTCGTTCGATGGGGAAACCTCTGTCAAAGTTGGGAAAAGATAGGATTCAGTTAAAAAATTCAAATCACAAGTAGGTCAATTTCAAAGGACCCTCTTGTCAAATGTAACATGTAATAGGGGAATTCAGAAAACACTCACAAAGCTCGATCCCAAATTAACTGAGCTAGAACGCCTAAAGCTCTCGAAACGCCAAACAGTACTGTGTAGAAGTTTTGTTCGGTCAATCCGTAGTATTGTAATAATACACCAGAATGAGCGTCAACATTGGGCCATGGATTTTTTGTTTTGCCATGTTCAAGTAATACTTCGGGCACAATAGTGTAGAGCTGTGATACGAGTTTGAAAAGCGGGTCATTGGGCAGGTGTTTCAATGCAAAATCACGTTGTGCCATGTAACGCGGATCCTGTCCGTCGATCGATATTCATTAGTAATCAAATACCCGACGTCCATTTTCACAATCAAATATTTTCGGAGCTTACCGTTTTGCGAAGAACTGCGTGTCCGTAGCCCGGCACTACTTTACCAGATTTGAGTGTGTTCCAAACATATTCTCTAACAACTTCATCGCTTGGCGATTCACCAACAGAATCTCTCAAATTGAAAATCCAGCGAACTACTTCTTGATTGGCGAGACTAAGGATTGAGAAAGACACATGTCAATATTACATTGTAACTACAATATGTTCGTACATCACGGTAAAACACATAATAGTTACCCGTGCAAAGGGCCGGCTAATCCATTCAGGGCCGCAGAAAATGAAAGATAAGGATCGGATAAGGCACTTGACACAAGTCTCTAGATAATACCAAATTGATAAATACATGCGTGATCTAGGGCAAAACCAAAATGTATACTCTTATTTTATGATAGAAGTGAAGAATTTACCGTTGTGTGGGCTGACACGTTCCCTCCTTCGTGATCAGAATGAATTGTGAGGTAAAGTCGCAACAATTCCACAAAGTCCTTATTGTCTTCGAACCCAAGAACTTTGGCCAAATTATAGGAATAATCTTTGTTGGGTTCAATAGAAGGTACCTTTCCATCCTTATAAACATTTCTATAAATTCTACCGACAATGTTGGGTAACTTGGAAATCAAGTCCATGGAATCCTCATACACATATTGCCAATAGGATTTTTTTTCGACACCAGCTTGGTATGCTTTGGCAAAATTTGAATCATGCTGTAATGCGGTCACCGCTAATGAAAATTGAGACATTGGGTGTAAGGTATTCGGACATCTGTCAATAAGCTCTTCAACAAATGATGGGATTGTTGAGCGAGCGGCCCAGTCAGCTGAAAGAGCTTGAACCTGTTCTTCGGTAGGAATTTCACCAGTTACTAATAGCCAGAAGAGACCTTCTGGTAGAGGTTCCTCACCGCCTTTCGATCTTGGAAGTTTTTCTCGACAATCGCTAATTCTAAGGTTACGAAATTCAATACCTTCCTCGGGATCCAAAACTGATCCTTCCCAAACTAAACCCTTAATACCTCTCATACCACCATAGATCATATCGACTGTAATATTTCCCATACTTTTTGTGCCATGTTCTTTCTTTACAAGTTTGATTTCTTCCTGTTTTTCGGGAATCAATTCCTCAATGCGCTCTTTAAGAGTCTTTGAGATAGCATTGATGAATGAAATCGTAAATTTTAAATAAAAAATAGGATAATAAATAAAAAATAGTCGAGCTCATGATTCATAAAGCTGCTTGATTTATCCATTCGACTGGACAAATGTCACTAATCAAAAGAGGAATTTGTCCAAATTTCGAATAACGCGTCGTTTCGAAAAGGGAGGACGATAGAAAACGTACCTTTGGCCTCGCAGCGTAATATCTAACGCCGCCGGCATATGTGACCGGTAAAACTTGTCTTGGAAAAGGATTACTCTTAGTTATCTATATCAACGTCGAATAACGAGGTCGCGTGTTAAAAATCAGAATTCTTGCGGTGGGTGTAGAAAGAATATATGTGCATATGAATGCCTTCAAACCTTTGGTAAACCAAAAGAGGAGCGAGAAAGTGTTCGCATGAAAGACATGATGGAAAGTTTCCAAATTTATCCGTGGAAAGAAGAATTTTCTGAATTCCTTAATTTTCTGTTTGCAAAATAAAATTCATATGTATATATATAGATGTGTCAATTTTTTTTTTTTACTATTCGGATGTCACCGAAATATATTTATTTGTACATAGTATACACATTTCGTAATCCAAATGTCTCTTTTCATATGCAACATGTAACTCGCGTGGCCAAATATATGTCTAATTTGTTTTACCGTGTTTTACCGAGATAATTTTTTTCTCTGTCAGATCTTAAAATTTTTTGAATTAACATTGTGGTACCAGCATTGTTATAATGACTACGCTTTCCAAATATGGTATAAACATTACGACAAGATCAGATGGTCGAATCAAAATTTGCTGATAAAAAAAAAAAAAAAATGTATGATGCTGATTATATTTTTTGCAATTTTGTTGAGTACGTAATGCTGCAAAAAAGGAAGAAACAGCAAACTGCAAAGGCCCATTTAATTGTCACGGGTCCTTCCGATTCCATAGAAAAAAGTTCTTCAGAGAAAGGAGACGCTCGAGAGGAAGAAATCACGGAAAATTCAAAATCAGCCGGTAAGAAACATTCAAAGAAAAAGAGATCAAAGATCAAGTCCAGTTATGAAAAAGATAAAATCGAAAGGAAGTTGGAAGCTTTGGTGTTTGGTGACGGGGAAATTGAAGAATTGGACGATGCCAAGGAGAGAGATCATGAAAAAAGTCGGGAAGGGGAGATGACAGAAGTCGAAAAAGACGGGAGTGTCGGCGATACCGGCGAAACGAGCGAACTGAAGAAACCTGTGAGTCTTCTTTCAAGTGTTTTTTCAGCTTATCATAGAAAGAAGTAATTAACTTTTTATTAGATATTTGTTATTGATACCTCGGCATCTGTACCCACCGTATCGATCGATGAGCTTGAGGCGAAACAAGACGATAAGATGGAAGGTGCCCGTGATCAATCAGTCTACGACAGCATACCATTAAGGATCTGTTATTCTTAACCTTAATTAGTATTTTACAGATCTGTCAAATGATGATTCAGAATCATTCGAACCCGCAAGTGCGTGGCACGATTCTGATGATGAGAGAATATTCGTATCATTAAAAAGCAAAAATATGTTGAAGAAGTTGAGGAAAACTGAAGAAGAGAATATCATACCTGGCGACCAATACGAGATGAGATTAAGACACCAGTATAGCATCATATCGGATTTACACGTTGTCATTCTATTAGTTATGATTTAATATTAATTTTTTTTTTTTTTTTATTCAGGTTTGAGAAAATATATCCGATGCCAAAATGGGCAACTAAATCTCGAAAGAGGAAACGGGAGGGAAGTGATTCTGATCATTCAACGAATGAAGATTCATCTGATGAGGGAAAGTCAGATGCGAAACACAATAATGAAGAAGATCAAGTCTCTGAACGGATAATTGAAATACCGAAAATAGCTCGGTCGAAGTTATTGCCCGCGGGTAAACTTGAAGTCACAAAAGTAAAAGATGCGAATCAACAGGCTTATTCACAGGTTGTCATTTATTTTATGCTTGTCTCCAGTGTTGGATGAATGGATTAATTGACTAACAATTTTGATTTCAATAAAATAGTGTGTTGTTCAAGTAGCTGCTTTTCACCCGAACGCACGAGTATTAATGACCGCGGGATTAGATAAGACTATAAGATTATTTCAGGTTTTTTTTTTTTTTTTTTTTTCAAAAAAATTTTTTTTCATTAATTTGTCAGAAAATTTACGCCAAATCATAATCATCTTCGTTTACCCGTTGACAAAATTATAATTGCAAAGGTCGATGGTAAGACAAATCCAAAGATCCAATCAGTGGTTTTAAAAGATCTCCCCGTACGCCATGCATCATTTAATTCAAGTGGCACAGAGATAATTGCTACTGGAAGAAAAAAACATTTTTACATATTCGATGTTGAGGCTGGCACCATTGACAGATCTAGCGGAATAATAGGATTTGAGTATAAATCGTTGGAAAATTTTTCAATATCGCCGTGTGGAAAATACATTTGTTTCCCTGGTTCAAATGGAAATTTGGTGTTGGTGAATTATCAGACTAAACAATTTGTGGCCACTATGAAGATGAATGGAACAGTGAATTCGGTGAACTGGTCGAGCGACGGAAAATATCTATTTTCAATTGGCAAGGATGCCGAGGTATATCAATGGGATGTTGGTGCCCGAAGATGCATACACAAATTTTTAGATCATGGAGGGTTTAAACCAACTGCAATTTCGGTTTCTAAGGATAACCGTTATTTTGCCATCGGGTTAGTATTTGAGATTTTCTTTTTATTTTTTTTTTATTATTTTATTTTTATTTATTTATTTTTAACATATTAGT